CGCCCCGCCCCGCTCCCGCGGCCCGGCCGGGGTAAGGCTCCCCCGCTCGGCCCAGCCGCCTCCATTCAGGTCCTGCTCGGGCCCCGGCGCCCGCGGGCTCGGCCCTTTAGGGAGGCGCTGCCGGGCCCCTGAGGGCACAGCCCGCCTCTCTGCCAAGGCCTCAGCGCCTGGCTTGAAACCAGCCCGGCTGCTTTCCCCTACTGCCGCGTCCCCGCCTCGGGGGGAGCTGCCCATGAACAGCTGGGAGCTCACTTTGTGGTACCATATAGATAGATATTGGTACCTGTATCTATATTGAGAGAAATTCCTGACTGGACCCCCATTGCTTCATAGGCAGCTGTAGTGGCTCTCATTTAATGGCAAGGGATGGACAGACACATTGAACTCACTACAGCTGCCGGTGAGGCGGTGGGGGAAGTCGATATTCAGTTTGTTGTTCCCGTGTAAATGGGGAAAATGCTGACAGGGCCACTCAACACAACTTTCCACTCCCTAAAAATGGGCGCAAGCTGTTCAGTGGCTCTCTAGTCGTGTATGTGTGAGGGCCCTGCCACATCATCACATTTAAGCAGGCTAGAAACCAGCTATCCCCTTGGAACATGTTTTTCAAGCCCTAACTTTGTAGCTGCTTGGCTCTTGTTATAGCTGAGTCGGCGCATCTACAATCATTGGAAAGCAGGATGGTGGAGGACATGGCTCTGGGGAGCAAAGCTTTGGCCAGGCTGAGGGTAAAGGGATGTTTTTGTGGCGTGAGAAGTACTTTGTATTTGTGGCAGGTCTCAATTTATTGTGCAGTTAACCAGTTAATTGTGTGACAGTTACTTTGCACATATGGCCAGACAGGTAATTGCCAAGTAATTGTGTAATCACAAGTAACATGTGGCAGGGGCCTGAGATGCTCCTTTGTCATCTCAGTTATGGTGTGCTACTTAATGGACAAGAGCTAGGCAGCTGGCAGGGTGAGATGCATCTTGTGTCCCTGTCTTCTTGTGCTCCTTCCTATACCCTCCATCTGCTTGCTATATTTTGTCTTAAGTCAGGGGTGGGCAAAATGGCAGCTCCAGACAGCAGCCAGACTCCATTTCCCAGCAGCCCCTTCCCCTCCAGGCGTTGCGGCCCTGACAAGTGTGGTCCAGAGCTGGGGCAGAGCCGTGATCTGCTGCCGGTATGCCCCTGCCTGGGGTGTGTGGACACCAGACTGCAGTTCTGCCCCGGCTCCAGACCATGCCATCACTGGTGCAGATCCCAGCCCTGGAACAGCTCGCAGGTCCAGCCAGTGCTGCTGGGGCCAGTCTCCATGGAAACCCTGGCTCTGGGCTGTCACAGCCCTGCTGCTCCTGGGGTCTCCATGGAAACCAGCCACAGACAGGGGGCAACGGCTGCTGGGAAGTTGAGTCTACCACAGACCCAATCCAATCCATGGACCAAATTTTGCCTGTCCCTGTCTCAAGGCAACCTAAGGAGTAGGCTTCTCCCACGCCACAGCTAGGCGATGAAGAAAGGCATCCAAACTGCCTCAGACCAGAGCCGAGTTGGTTAGGCCTGTCGCTCAAAACCATTTCTGATCACTGTCTCACGGCTTATCTGTGCACATACGCCATACCACTTTGCCTATACAGCTGAGTTGCATCTTACGTGCATTTAACTTATGCGAATTCAGCTATACACACTCAGCTGCTGGGGCTGGGGGGTGGCAGCTCGCTCACGCTCAGCTGGCTGCTCTGGCGGGAAGAGGCGGCAGAGGACAAGAGGGGCAAGGAGTGCGTTCGGAAGGCGCAGTTGTTGCACTGCATGCATGGGCTGTGCGGCGCCGCGCCCGCCTTGTCCGGGCCTTGCGGCGGCGGCTGCTTGGCGCTGAAGCCTGGCAGGAAGGGCAGTTTCAACTATATGCGATTTTCACCTTACACGCTGACTTCAGAACGTAACCCCTGCGTGAGATTTACTCAAAGTGGCACACCCCTCTCTACCTGACCCATGTGGATGTCTGGTGTTGAGATTGCTGGTATAAAGTGGGTAATTGGCTGTATTGGTGTAACACTTTGATGCCGATGTAACTTTATCCACACTAGGCACTGGGATAACTATTTTGGTGTAAAAATATATCCTTTAGTGAAGTTGCCAGGCTATGAACCTGTGTTTCAAGTAGGCCTTAGATGGTAAGCACATTAGGGCACAGACCATGCAGTGGCAGAAGGCCACCTCTGTTTCTCCCCAAAAACTCTGCTCTCTGACAGTTTGGTTAGGATGGGGCCAGCAGAGGATACACACCTTTACCCTATCTCTTTAGGTAACTTGAGCTGGATACATTCCTGAGGGAGGGGGGAAATCTGCTCTCTCTGCCTGCCTGACTGGCATTACATACCTGGGTGACAGGTTTGGGCTTCCTGGGGAGCTAGAGACTGCCAGTCTGCCCAGCAACTAGTGATGCATTTCAGATTGGTTGGCTAACAGCCAACAGGTACTGACCTCCATTGGACCAGGTAAATGAGGTCATAAGGGCTATATAAGTTAAGGACTGCCCAGGAGGAGGGGGAAGCAGCCATGAGGAAGACTCAGAGAGAGAAGAGCTGGACCATCTGAAGCTTGCTCTCTCTCTCTCAAAACTCATGATCAAGGAACTGCTTGCTTCCAGAGAGAATCTCCACCTGCCTCTGGAAGTTACTTGTGAGTAAGCTACCTGAGATCTAACCAGATCTATAGCTTGCAGTAACTCAGGTGCATGATCAAAGGCTACCCAGCCATGGGAGTTTGCTGTATGGGATTTCTCTGATATTGCTCTACCCTGTACCCTATTCCAACCCTACCCCTTGTAACCAAGAAAGTTCTCCTTTGTACCTAGCGTGGGAAACTTACTGGGAGTGGGTCTAGATTATGCCTTGGGGCTCCTTGGTTCAGCTGACTAAGGAAGACCACTACTTGTGCTTCCTACTGAGGGAAGCATCCCAAGTTCTTGAAGTGAATCAAATACCCTCGAGGGCTACTAGCCCTGTGTTTCCCAGGGGGTGCAAAGCCAGAATCAAGCCCATCCCTGGGTGGTGGCAGTTTTAGCCCCAGGCTAGCGGGTGTGCTCCAGGAAGGGGGTCGGCCAAACATGAGGCGCCCCCAGGGAGGCACTCTGAGCCTGGAAGGTGGCTGGGCGCAGTGAGGTGGGTGGCTCAATGCAGGAGCACCCCCTACTGACCTGCCACACATTTCTTGTAGTGTGTGGTATAATGGGGTCCTGATTCTTGTCTCTGCTTCCTAGACAGTACTGCAATACATTAATGCATAGGAACTGCAAAACCTTTTTACAGACCTCTCCTAGTTAACACTGGAAAAAAAAAACAACTCATCTTGTTATACGATATTCAGACCACATAGCTGAGTTTAAAATTTACTGTTTCTCTTCTAAGTCTTAATTTTACTATAGACTAAACTTAATTTCCTTTTGGAAGTTATCTCAGTAATGGAAACCTGTGAGGTATCACAGCCTTTTACTGCATGTGAAGCAAGAATTCAGCAGTGAACAGGGATAGAAATGACTGTGCCCCATGCAGGGAATACACATTCAGTATCAAAATACTTGTATGTGCATGGACCTTTCATGACTTGTGCAGAAAGATCTGGTGGGCACTGAGCAACCCATTTTAAAGTTAGCAACCCATTTTAAAGTTACTGTTGTTTTCCAGTCCTAACATGCCCATTATTAGCAATCACCACAAGTCAGTCTTGCTTCATCCAACTAGGATTAAGCACCTTACTTTCATGCACATAGAACTCCACTTTTTTGTGCGCTAAGCATCATTTTCTTTCAAATTTCGCATTAAAACGCATTTATCTCCTGCAGCTTCTCAATCCGCCTTTCTAAGAATTAATAGCATGCTTTAAATATTTTTCTTAATGTACATAAATAAGTACCACGCTTTGTGTTCAAGTTTATTCTCTGTTCACATGGTGCATTTTGTATTTGGCTCATTTAGTTTTTGTTCCTTGGGTCACTTCTTCTAGTATATCCTGTACAACAGCAATGATATTTGATGAGCCAATAAAGTAGCAAAACCAAGCTTAGCAATTGGTGGGCACATCTATATGTGCACTTGCATGCGCAGTGTTTTACTGCACATTAAAGCATCAGGTCGAAAATCATGCTAATGTGCAGTAAAAATAAGCTACTGTGCATTAAGCATCACTAAAAAGCATACACTTTTAGGGCAATCTAATGCGCATTTATTTAGTACTTTACATTAGAGGTACTAAATTTAATGCACAGTAGTAAACATGCATACATGAACATGTAGATGTGCCCGTTAAGTCTCATCCAAGTTCTTTTGGGGTGAGCAGTTTTTGCCTCAAGAGCTGTGTAGGGCTGACCTGCAAATAAATGAAGAAAAAAATTCTACACAGTGAGGAAAAGATTCTTTACCAACGATGGGGAGGAGGTTTGTTTGGCAAATGCTTTCTTGTGGTTAATTTAATTTTCAGGTGGCTTTATCTTCTTGCTTAAAACTATACAATGATTTTAATAAAATCGTGCTGTCTCTGATAGTATAACTCACTGGTTTTCAAACTTCCTAAAATCACATAACCCTTTTATGTTGCTATGTCTGCCTCAGAAACTCCGCCCCTATCCTGTGAGATGACATGGAGCCAGGAAACCAGGCCCAGCAATGCTGGCGTACTGCTTCCTGGCCTGCTCTGTCATTACTCCCAATCTCTTTGTAGAACCCCTAATGACTTATCGTGGAACCCCAGGGTTCCACAGAAGGCAGCTTAAAAACCATTGGTATAACTGACTCAAGTGCATTGCAACAGCATGTGTAACTGCTGTTTCTCCTGTCCTCCACAGTTCTTGAGAAGGCAGCAGGTTCTTCAGTTATACAGAAGAATTCTGCGGGCTATTCGTGAGGTACCTACTGAAGATGATCGTCAGTATCTCAAGCAGTGGGCAAGGGAAGAATTCAAAAGAAATAAAGATGCTACAGAAGAGGTAAGGAGTAAACCGCAATCCCAAGCAGGTGCCCTTTCAAATCTTGACAGCATACTCAGTGCTAAAGACTGTAGTTTGCCAAGATGCTTTTATTTTATGAGAAGCATGCCAAGACTTCTATAAAACTGGGTTTTTGGAATCTGATTTTTCCTGTCATGTTTACATACAAACCAACACAAACTGAGTAGCACCTCTCCGTTTATTTCTTGTTTATTTCTTGTCAAGTGTAACATTCTTCTGACTCTTTAGCTGTGCAAATGGAAATTTAAAAAAAGACCTTCTTTGGAATAGAAAGCAGACAAAACTATTATTTCTCAAATTTAGTAGTGTGACTACTATAACAATCTCATTTCCACTGGGGGTTGTTTCTTTGTATCTGCTTTTAATTTTTAAATTAATATTTTGAATTCAAGTAAAACAAAGCCAAACGTAAATGGCTATCTGAATATAGGAAGTACATATGGGGTAGGGAAGCCTTCATTTTTTTCATGCAGCTCCAGTTCTCTGCTTTTCACCTATGCACATTCCCTAGTCAATACTGAGGAAGTAGTGGCTGGAATTAGGCCAAGTGATACAAAAATGTTAGGAAAGTGTCCAAGGGTGCACACAGAAGAGCAGTCGCTGTTGCAGACCCGAGTGGGTGTCTATGCATGCCTCTTAAGTGGTCTTAGCCTAAAATGGCCATTTTTAAGGTGAATTAAGAGCATGTGTCTACATGTGCACGCTCTTAATGCACCCTTAAAAATGGTGAATTAAGGCTATGTGAGCCTAAATTTGATCCCTGTATAAAGCAGGGATCAAATTTAGGCATGAATAGCTACATCGCATTAGCACATGTGTAGACGTGCTAATGTCATTAATGCAGTGATCCCCCCAACCCAGTCGAAGTTCATTGTTGGGCCCAGGGGGATTTCAGCTGCTTCCTGCCAGCCTGCAGCCCAATCTCTGTAGCAACGCCACTCCCCACTCCCAACCAGAGTACGGTTTTCAGAATGGGAGGGGGAGAGGGAGCTCATTCTTGGAGTTCCCCAGCCGGGGTGGGAGGATGGGGTAGCTGGACAGGGGCTCCAATCCACCTGTCCTACCCTCCAGCTCTGGCTGAAAAAAGCCCAGACAGAACTCCCTCCGCTCCCTTTCCCCCCTTCCATTCTGAAAACAGCAACGGGCTGGGAGCTCCGCAGATGCAGGTAACAGAACACGCTGTTTTGGAGCGTTTTCATCTGAACCATCAAGCAGTGAGGGTTCAGATTTTTCTGGAATTGGACCCTTTTAAAGCGGTCTGCATCCTTGCAGTTCTGTTTGGTCATGGCTGTAGGCCACTTTCTGGGTCAAGATCAGGTGAAAATTATGACTTCCGTCTGTGCCCTATGTTGTTTACCTCTGGAAACATCTTTACAACGTCTATTTGTTGTTTTTACCCCTCAAAAGCATTTGGACTTGCATAAAGAAAGTTCTCATTAGGTTTCAAGTGAAAGAGCTTTTACCATTTATGTTTACACCATTTTAAACCAGGGCATCATTAAGAATGAAGAGTCCATAAATAGTTGCTCCATCTATTTTAACAATAAAAGTATTGTGCAATCTTTATTTCTCAGAGGCTGAAGATTTTATTGCTTGCCGTTGCCTGCCTCAGAAAAATAAATTGAGAGAGAACTGCAGAAGCTCTTGTGAAAATCTGTATATTGTAACATGTTACAGCACATATGTTCAGTTCAGCAGATTCTGTTTCTCTTTACAGGACACAATTAAGATGATGATAACTCATGGCAACATGCAACTTCAGGAGCTTAAGAAAACACTTCAGCTGGCAAAATCCTGACTTTATTTCACTGAGAACTAAAGGACTTTATCCCAGTAAGAAATACAGCACTTAATGCACCAGTTGGTCAAGACAGTGGCCTTGTACTAAAGTACTCCTAATGTTTAAAGATGGAATACAGTATAAAGGGTTTTTTTTCTTGCTTGCTTCTGTTACCCTGAATTTATGGCTATCAGAAAAAAAAATGACACACCGTATCTATTTAGATAACCAAATATGGGGTATAACACGTGTCAAGGGAGAAAAAAAGTGCCGAAAAAAGGCAAAAATAAAAAATAAAATGAATAATAAAGACAGGGGGTGGTGTTATTTCTTTGTTAGCATTTCTTAGGCATTACAGTCTTTTAGGAATCTTTTCTGTAAGGTGTTCTTAAAAATAAGTAACCGTTCAGGACATTGTTAATATTGATAGGTCTGCTGGTTGCTAGATGTTTTTAGGACTGAAGGGTGTTTGTACGAAGCTACCTCTGCCAGCTTGGTAAAGTATTTCTATCAGGCTGAGTAGCTAGCCACTGAGGGACGGGCATCTGGACTTGGAGCCTGGGGGCTGCAGCTTAACCTCTGGTGACTGCATACAAATCGCAGGTCACCCATTGGAGAACCCTGTCCTAGACCAACTTGACCTTGCTTTTTACTTCTACCATCTACTCCGAAAAAAAGAAATATATACTTTCAAAAGTGGCAATGAGCTCTTCAGGCACAGCTAAGATGCCATTCAGTTTTGCGTTCTGTATGGAGAAAATTATGACAAATCAGCATTAGCAGTCAGGATCCTAATTGCCATCTCTATTTAGACTACACCACCTCTTTTCCCTCCTGTTTACATACCCTATATAGAGTCACTGATGTTCAAATCAGCAAAAGTAGAAAACATGAAAATAGATTTCTTGGCAACATTTATGTTTAATTACTTGGCAAAAACATTCACTTTATTAAGGTACAAAAATTAAATAGCTGTTCCTCTGCATTCCTACATAGTTAAAACAACTGACTTAAAAATTGTAAACATACTAAAGTGTCTAAATCTTTATTTTTGACTACTGAAGTCAAAGCAGTAAAACTAACAAATATCTCAATTACTACAGATATACTGTACTTGTCTGGATAGTGCATTAATAAGAATTAAAAATACTGTAATATAATACAATTTTCTTTGCTTTATACACATACTAAAATGAAAAAAGTTGGATTTGTAAATAGTTCATGCTGTGTTGACGATACTGTCACACGTTATGTTCATCTGAGTTTCCATTGTCAAGAGGTTGCCTCTATCCTTTTCCATGGTAGGGTGCTACAGTTTGAAAGAGCTGTTTCCAGGCTGTCAGTATCTATTAAATGACTTTGTCCCTATTAATAGTACCTTGTGTGCCTCCTACCTGATGCAAGCAGGAAACCCAAGAGGGACTGCAGATGAAATTAGCTTTGGTATCTTACAGTTGTATAGGACCTAGTACAATGAGGGCCCAATGTAGTCAAGGACTTTAGATGCTACCACAATAGACTAAACAATGCTAAACAATAAGATAAATACAGACAATCCCTGCTTAGCACTGTTTTGCTTGGTGCTATTTCACTATAATGCTCGCTTTACATTGATACCCGATTCCACTTAGTGCTCAGCGAGTTTCATTACAATGCCCACAGGCATTGTACAGCTGGCAGCACGTTCTGCTTAATGCTCATTTTTTCAGGAACCAATTAAGAGTGCTAAGCAGGGGTTGCTTGTATTTCTGAGTAGCAATCACAGAGGAGAACTTTGGGTACAACGTTCCAAGTTTTCCATTTTTTAGGAAAGACATGTTCAAATGGCTCTGAGTCTTATTAAAAAAGTTAGTTCTGTGAATCAGTTTACAGCTGTGTAATGATTCAGCCTGCTTATCTGTAGAATGAATTTTAATTTAGGAACTGTAGATATACAAGATGTCTCTCTTTCCACATAAAGTGAACCAGGCAGGGCCGTCCCTGGGGGTGGGGAGCGAACTGGGGTGACTGCCCCAGGCCCTGCGCTTTGGGAGGCCCCATGTTCAGTGCTACATAGATCCCACTTTGCCACCATGCGCTGCCAGCTCTGGCTGGTTGCCACCCCCGGATCCCCTGCTTCAGCCGCTTGGCAACCCCCCCAACCTGCTCTGCCGGCTCTGGTTGCTCACCACCCAGCCCAGGCCCTGCATACCCCTAGGGACAGCTCTGGGACCAGGCCTAGGGGGGCGAAGAGGAGACCAAAGAAACAAATGAATATGCTGAACAAGTTGTTCAGGTGGAAATGCTGGTGGTGTTGAGACCAGTGAGTTTGTCATTGATTTCAGTGGAACCAGGATTTCACCCTTACTTTGTGTGTTGCTGTATGTCTTTAGCAGACAAGGTTCTTTGGGTAAATCTGATATCTTTTCTTAGACCAACTCAGATAGTTGGAAAAATTCTTTTTAGCAAGCTTTCATGTATAAATACCCTTTGTTATTTTCGCTCCTTAAAAAGGGCATCTTTTATGTTTGTACATAACATGCACAACGTTCTGTATACCAACAGATTCCAAAACCAGTCTTGCAACATCTCCTTTCCTGCACCTGATTCATGGATGTTAGCTTTCCTTTTGTACCTTAGTC